AAATTAGCCTATCAGTTACGACTCGTCTTTTTTCTACATGACATCAATGCCTAGAACCTTGGGTTCCCCCAAAAAAGAAACAGTTGTCATAATAGTTTAAGCTCCTATTTGTACTTGCCTCACAGACTTTCTCCAGTGTGGGCATCCATGAGGTTGCAAGATGGCAGTTCTGCAGAACTACCCAGCTGCCTTCTTTTACTGCCTTCTCAATCATGCGCATAGCAATGGGGCCTTGGCCTTGGCCCAGGGACAGAGAGGTGAGTTTTGATGCACCAAAGCCCTGTACATATAAAAAAATCCATGGAGAAAAGAGAAGAAAAAATCATCAAATGTTGCAGTAGCACAGCGAGGGTAAGGTTGCATTCAACATTTAGAATCCTAAAGAAAGTCTTGCTGAAGTCACATTAAGTTGTTAAGCTCCATGTATGAAACAAATGCAATTGACAATGATCCTCTAGAGCAGGGGTCCTCAACCTTGGCCACTTTAAGACTTGTGGACTTCAACTCCCAGAATTCCTCAGCCAGCTTTGCTGGCTGAGGAATTCTGGGAGTTGAAGTCCACAAGTCTTAAAGTGGCCAAGGTTGAGGACCCCTGCTCTAGAAGACTCCTTCCTTGCCTTTCTTTTATTGAGATGAGAGAGGTTACTAACAAGATTCATCAAGGCTTCTTTCACATAGGTTCTTCTTACCAATTCCTACAACCCTTGATAATTGCTGAGTGGTAGTGTCCTGATTTCATACCTCAGGAGATATTAAGTAAAGGGATTGATGAAACCCTTCAATCTACCCTGTCAACATCACCAGCCAGCAGGAAAGCCGCCCATCGGCCACTGCATTACTATGGTTTTAACAGATAGCTTGATCATCAACTTTCATCATGTGCCAGAATTTGCTTCCTTTACCTTGAGCAGACAAAACGAGGTGAGTTTAAAAGGCTAAAAATTGCTGGCATTCTCCCTGAGTGTGCATGGTTAAGGCCATGTCAGAACTTCCCATGCCCGGGAAAGCTAATGGCTAAAAACCAGCTTTTCCTCTTCTTCATCTCTTCTTGCAGCTAAGGGTACAGTAGCTGATTGCCAGAGTAGAGAAGTAACAGGGTAAGTGGGAAGAGTTTGGCTCTTAATCTACCGGATCAACTAATCCTTGGGACTGAAACCCATTCCTTCTATTGAAATTAACATGTACCAAGGCTTGCAGATAAAGGACACTATGTACTTTAATGGATACAGATTCAACCAGGGACTCAACAAGTGACTGTTCATAAATAGTGCAGCCTGTATTCATTCAAATACTAGTATGTGTTATTCATGCTGGATTCCATAAAAGGATAAAAACAACTACAGGAACAGTGTTGTCCTCCTTGTCCTCCCTGGATACCAGCATATAAACCTCACATATGGTAGAAAGCAAGTAATGATATGAGCCCTGTGGCACAAGCTCTGTCCTTTTTGTATGTGTGTGTTGTGATATTGCACATGTGTATGTAAACATGGCAACAGCAGATATGTCATTCTGACAAAACTATTACCTTCTGAGATGAACCCACTCAGATCAAGTGGGTAAAATCAGATCAAGCCTGTAAAATTATTTCAATTGATGTTCCCAGCAACCCTGAAGCCTTTTGCTCATATATCATCCCATCGAACAAGTAAGCACTCCAAGTTTTAGGCCTCATGTCCACAGAGAATGAAATAGTCATCTACATACCTGGTCGTCAGCAAATTTAAGAAGAGCCGCCATGGGATCTGCACCCGGAGACAGCACAAAAATTAGTGGAGCACAGCAGTGGCTATCACCAAATGCTTTGTTTAAGTCAAAAGGAGGAGGCTCAATAAACAGACGGCCCAAGTTGTTAATGATAAATTCTTGCACCATGGGAATAATCTAGAAAGTCAAGAAGGCAAAAAACTATGAGATGGTTGTCCTTAAAAACCACACACACACACATATATACTGCTCAAAAAAATAAAGGGAACATTTTAACATGGAACTGAAGGAGTTTGCGTTCCCTTTATTTTTTTGAGCAGTATATATATATAGCATCGGCGAAATGGAGGGTGGGGACGTGACTGCTGGGTTACAGCCCGAGCCGGATTGGATGGGGGTGAACAAGGAGCAGAAGAGGGGACAACTAGATGGCACTTGTGTGCCAGGTGAGGCTAAGCGTCCTCACGGTGCACGGACACGGAGGAATGGGGGTGTGAGTGTCAATGTAAGGATAGTTAAAGAGAGTGATGAGGGGCACACATCGATTGGTTATCCAGGACCCCAGACAGCCCAGGTTCGAATCTCGGAAGGGTATGTCTGACTGATGAAAACCAAATAAGGTTAGAAATAGCTATCTCAGTACTCCCTTAATTCTTTGTTAGCAATCCAAATTTTGAAAAACATATATATATATATATATATATATGATTGACTTGTGCTGTTTAATAAAAAACATGCACTAATCACAGAGTTTCAAATGTTGGCCTTATACTTCCAACTCTCTTTGAAAAATTAAAAGGAATAATTTTGGTGCAAGAAAGGAAAAAGTAGAAAGGAAAAGTTCTCTTGTTAGCTAAACTTCTATAGCATTAACCATGAGTGTTATGTTCATATTTGTTGCCATGTCCCAATCCATCTTTCTCCAATCCGGCACGCTCTAAATGAGTATATCTTAAACTTTTTTTCTCTCATGAGGCCTTCCCATTTTTAAAAATTATGGAGGACCCCCCCAAAGGGCTTTTATTTGTATGAGTTGTATTTATTCATATTTACCATATTAAAAATTAAAACTAATCCATTCACTGCTATTGCTTGATGGGATTTTAAAAATGTATTATTTTTCAGCATAAGCTAGCCAATACTTTTGTCTTTGCAGGCCCCTGAGAGGATCTTGGGGGTCCCCAGGGATCCTAAGGTCACACTTTAAGAAACACTGTTCTAAATAATAGTAGACTATGATATCTATCATCCCCTGAGGAGGTATAGCAATTCTGTGTTCATAATATTTGCTCAAATCCAAATCTTTAGGGGTAGGGATAAGCAATATGGGCCAATGGATTCTTCTCTCAATGTCCACTATTCTACATATACAGAGAGAGAGAGAGAGAGAGAGAGAGAGAGGGAGGGAGGGAGGGAGGGAGGAGAGAGAGAGAGAGAGAGAGAGAGAGAGAGAGAGAGAGAGAGAGAGAGAGAGAGAGAGAGAGAGAATATTGGCATACAATGACAAACAGCATGAGACCTTTATTTATAAGAAAGCCTCCAGCTTCACTGCAGAAAATAAAAATTGTGATGACCTGGTTTACCTAAGACTGCCATAAATCAGCTGCAAAAAATATATAACCACTAGATGGCAGAAAAGAGATGGACTGTTGCTGCCACCTAGTGTCTGTACAGATGTTTGCAGCCCTACTATGCAAGCATTCCCACTAGCCTAAAAAAAAAAAAAGGCAAAGATATATTGGGGGAGTGGAAGGCAGAAAGCATCCTGAGCAGAAGGGGGAAATGATCTAATCAGTTTGCCTTCTAAAAAGGCAGCGTATACTTTTGGGGAAATAAAATACTTTTTTAAAAAAACAAAAATGCTTTGAAAATTCATATGTGCCCACCAGCTCCAAAAAATAATCTACCTCTCTCACTTTGGGCCATATCTTACATCAGAGAAGTTGGGTCCCAATGCCAGCTCAAGCAGGGACATAGCCAAACAATTGCTCTGTGTTATTAGGATGGTGAGCAGCCAGGATTGATAACTCTCAAGAATTTAGGCAAATGCAGCTTTAGGTGACAGGAGCAAGAAAAGCAGCCCTGCTTCAAGTAGTTATCTGCAGAATTAAAGGGAAAGGAGCATTCCAAGGAATAAGATGTCAATTACAGTAACCAATCTCTATACAGGTCAATTTTTCTTTTTTGAAAAAAAGTATTTTATTGTTTTTATTTTTTGACATTGTTTTAATGTTTATTTTATTTAGCATTTTCTAAAATATTTTAATGTAGACTTGTTTTTGAATTAGTGTTTTAACTGTAAACACTTTGAGGTTCACCTTTAAGAGGAAAAGGTGATTTAGATAAACTATCCATGTTTATTTATAGTTTATTCATCTTTTCGCCCATCTTGTAAAGGTTGATTAACAGGTGACATCAATTGAGACAGCTAAGGAAATGCCTTAAATATGAAGCCAGGAGCCATACATGCATGTGACTTTGAAAGAAAGTGCAGTGAGAACAGATGATTTGCAACATCCATAGCCTAAATGGAGGCTTTCCTGAGAGAACTCACTTCCAAGAACCTACTTGAATTCAGGGAAATGTATGAATATAAAAATCGCCTGCAGACTTTAACTGCGTGGCCTTTTAAGGACAATTGCAAATGTTCTCCTGAAAATGTAAGTCTAGAAGTTCTGGGAAATCTTTGAAAAGAGCCTCCTTTTTTTTTTTTAAATGGTGTGTATTCGTTCAAAGTAGAGTTCAACAAGGCTTTCTCTGTATAAATATAGTCCTACCTCGAATAATACTTTCAGTTGCTCTTAAAAATGGAGGTTTTCCTCTCTTCCTGGGAACCAAGCTATACATTACTTTCTAATAAACCTCCAAAAGGAAAAGCCTGCTGCTAAATCATTCCTTGTTTGTTTTTTAACATTTCAGAAGAGGAAAAAGGTCTACTCCCTCTGTCCCAAATCTGCAGGTTTTATTTCTCAATTGTTTTACAAACGTCTCTAGTTTTTTAAAAAAGCCCAAGCTGACTCCCATATGTCTTTCTAGAAATTATAGGGGAAAGTTCTCATAGTTGTATCTTTAAGCTGGGACAACTGTTGCTACTACCAGTTTAGGAATTCTCTTCTGGGGAAAGCTAGCAAATCCAGTTAAGGGATAGTTCACTTCCGCATTTCTCTTTAAAATCTGCTCTTCTTTCTTGGCTCTGAGTCATCTTTGCTTTAGTCAAATTAAGCTGTCTGAGGGGGCTCTGTGAAAATGGAACATGCAGCACAAAGGAGATGCAACTTCTGGTGTAAGCTCAACAAAGTTTCCTTTTTTTTGGATTGCTTGGCTCTGGGATCTGCTGCAAACAGGACATGCTTGATAGTTGAAAGGGGGGAAAAAAGGTGGGACATCAGGCAGCCTAAGCAATTGTATAGAATCTGCAGAAATTCCAGATGCAGTTTATTTTTCAGTATAAGTGAGAGAACATGGTAACGCGTTCTGAACTATGCAGAACTTTCAGATATAAGCCAGAGTGCAACAATCTGCAGTTAGCTTAGCGTATTATGTTAGGCCAGCTCCTGTTACTGACTCATCATTTGAGAAAGAATAGCTTAACCTTGCTTTATGTGAACACAGCCATTAGTAAAGATCCAGCTGCTAGCAAACAATATCCCACGAAGCACAAAAGTTCTCTCTCCGTCTTCAAGGTGTCCTTATCTTCTTCTTCTTGTGTAGATGGCCAAGGCTGGCTTCATCCACCATCCGCATGCAGAGGAACCCGAGGTGGCCAAGTGCTTCTTCTGCTTGATAGAATTAGAGGGCTGGGAGTCCAATCACGATCCCTGGTAGGTATGGTCTGATTGCTGATCTTCTGCCTTGAGGCAGCTCAGACTAAGAATGGTGTTGTCTGAGCGTTGGTAGAGGTGGGTTAGAAAACCATTCCTTGGCTGGAGCAGAATTACTTTCCCCAGTTTCTGATATGTATCTCTCCACCATCTTTAATGGAATTTCATCCTGTTTTAGCTCCCATTGAGGAAACAACAACTCAACCATCCTAGATAACTTGCTGCTTTACAAAGGTATATGTGCTGGTAGTAACTTAGTAATTTGCTGCATAACCTTACTCTCTGACTGAATCATGCTGGAAGATGTGTATGATGGGCAACTGCTTACATGGGAAATGTTTACATTTCTAACTGTACTACTAAGCTGTGTTGCAGAACGTTTCTTCTACTTTTCCTAGCTCACTCTACTTCTTGCCAATGGCCTTTTTCCGTGACAGGTTGGAGCACTCCAAGCGTAGTCAAGACTCGTGTGGGTTCTTGTCCCTTTCGAAGAATTTTGATGACCTGACAGTAGAAGAATACTATGAACTAGAGATGGAAAGGGTCAGAAATTTTCTTGTAAGTAATAGAACTGATATCAGGAGAGCTGAGGTGACCTAAGCAATCTGAACTTAATGTTGAACTTAAAGCAACCTCTGACCCTACCCACTCCCTAGCGAACGTATCTTTTTCATGGGCCAATGTGAAACAAGGTGGTGGCCTCTCTTTGTTTCTAAAAATCTTGCTTTGTTACAGCAAGAAGCTGTTGACGTACATACGACCGACAGCTACCATTTTTCTCCCTATTTTTTTCCTCTTTGACAAAGATTGACAAAGATTTAGGTTTTTTCACTCACAGTAGCCTAAAATCATGCTGGGCTATGAGCGTGGATCCCAAATGAGCAATTGAGGTTGGGAACAATTACTGTCAAAGGTGTGGATGCTTTCTTTAAAAAGGGAAAGCTATTAATATATTCTGCAGTATCCCTTGCAGTTGTCCATGCTGTCTATCATCTAAAAATTGTGGCTAACAAGTGAATTCTCCACTTGTTTTCAAGTGTAAAACCGGCCGAAGTATAATAAACACCTTTGAAAAAGAAGCAGCTCTAACAAGGAAACGTCTTGTGGATCATTTCATGAATAAATACCAGTATGCTTCAGAAGCGGAGACTTCTGTCGTTTGCAACAAAAGAAAATTGTGTGCCAGCCAACAAATAGAAGAGAATGGATTGCAGCTGACAGTCTCTTGTGATGACAAGCATGGTCAGAGGTAAAAGTACATAATTAATGAAATGTGAACAAAGGCCTGGCCTGTAATACTGGTTAATACGACACGAATGGAATCTTCGGATAGCCATTTATATTCCTGATGCTTTTATTGTGTGCAAGGCTTGTTCTGCATAAAACCAGAAAGAAGACAGAAGGAAATAATTCTGACTTATGGAAGTAATCCACTAAGCTGAGATAATGTGTTTGGATAATGTAAAGATAAAATTTTGAATAAAGGGTTTTGGATAGACTGAGAGGGATTTCTTTTAAACTGATATCCAAATGTATCTAATAATATATCTTAGACAAATAATATGCACAATACAGTTGTCAGTGTAATGCCAATAGTCCAATATGTTGCTTTGGCATCACACATCAACAATTTAAGCTTGTGTGTCACAATAGTGATTTAAGCTTGTGTGTCACAATAGTTTTCCTCCGTGGACAAATATAAAAAGCAACAATGCTTTTATTAATATATGTGCTTCCCTCTCTTTTTTTAATCTGTTATGTGACTCCTATAAAACTGAAGACAGCAATACTTTTACATAAAATAGTCGAAAAAGGAACCTGTGTGAATTAAGGAAGCGGAGAGGCAGTTAAGAAACTGTAAAACGCTCCATTGGAAATGTCTACATAGTTTGTCAAAGACCACTGTATATATTAAAAATAAGCACAGATTATTTACCTAGAATCATCAAGACAAATAAACATCACAGTAATTTAAAAGGAGACAAGTGTTTCTGTATCTGGAAAGTTCTTGTTCCTTTTTCCATTCTCTGATGTAATAGGAAGAGAGAGATTCATCTCATAGTAAATTATTTACCCACCACAAATCAAGATTCTTCCACCAGATTCTTCCAGCATCAGCTACCTCCATTGTGGATTAGAAAAAGACACAGCTACCCTTTTTAAGGGTGACCAATTGGATAGCACTCACACTCTAATATACATTTGTTAAACCAGCTGACCATACTTACTTTGTCAGATCTCAGACAACGAATGATCAGCATCCTCTGGAACCCTTCTAGTTTATTTTGCCACTCCTCAGGAAATGCCTCATGGTGAGGATTCTAAAAACACAGATAATTCTTGAGCCAAGAAATTGCAAAGTGGGGAGGGGTTATAACACTAAACAACTAAATTGAAAGTTTTCCAAAGATTCAGTTTCGTGTCATGTAGTTCAAGACAGGATGCAGATAGTACTTGGTTTATGAATGCAATTGGGACGGGAATGTCTGTTACTAAGTTGTGTGGTCATTAAGTGCCCAATTTTGGGACCTTTTTTGCCACACTTATTAAAGTTGCCAATAGCAGTCATATGACTCCTGGACACTTCAACTGACATAAATACATGCTGATCACTAAGCACCCCGAACTGCAGTCATGTGACCAGGAAAATGCTGTGACTTTTGTGTGAGGATTAAAATTATTAAAAGGTCATAAGTTGAGAACTACCCATATGTATCTGCATGAATCATTTTTTGTAGTCCTACCCTCAGCCTCACATATACAAATATGCACGTATTTGTATATTTGACTGCATGTATATTTCCAATTTAAGCAGAACGTTCACTTTTTTAAAATGAGCTATAATTCATGAAAACTCAAGTGATAGTTATCTGGTACTTGAGGTGCCAAAAAAATTATTGTTTCACTACAGAAGATTAATATGGCTAGCTGTCTCAGGAAATTTATTCAAAACACTTCATGGAAATCTCCAGCTATTCCCCAGTTATTAACTCCCAATGAAAAAAAATGTCCAATAATTTATTCTGGACCATTAGCAAACAATTTGCCTATCCAAAACTGTGGTTTACCAGCGGTTATTAAACCACCATCCTATGTCTCAATGGCATTGGAACTATTGCCAACAGCATGATGACAGGTCTACTTCAAGTCTTCTGGGGTGGCTTCTCAAAATTTTTTTGCAGAAGCTTCCTCCACTTGCTTCTTTCAGAATGAAAGGTTTTCCAACCTTCTCCAACTAACATTAATGAAGGAGTCATTCACATTTATCTGATTTTTAATTTCAATTTATTTTACATGCCGGGGTCAAAACATGAACTCTCCTGCCTCAGAGGAAGTGTGCTTGGTCATGAAACTATAAGTCATTCCCCAGTTTGTCTCTGTGATCTCTTTAACAACATACCAACCTAAATATGTTAGCATCACCTGAATCCATTTTAGATTGAGAGCTAAAGTAGGTGATGCTTCACTAGAACCAACAGATTCTATTTTAAACCTAACACACACATGGAGAATAATAAAGGAACTGGAGGAGGAGCAGACTGCCGTCTCTCCACATACTGCAGTCCTAATCTCAACAGGATTACTATACACCTTCAAGGATCTAGCTAATATAGGAGCAAGACACACACTTTGTGTGTAGTCATGTCTATTGCCCTGCATCTAACAATTTTGCTAAGACCTCAAGAAATGGCTTTTCCCTATTTTGTTCCATGATAAGCATATCCTCTACTACTTAAAAACACAGCAAATGTATTGTCCTCAGACAGTTCCAGAGCTTGCAGTGTCTACAGCTGCCTATCCAGCAAAAAACTGAGTTGTGAACAATTTGGACAAAGCAATACTTCATCAAACTGGTCTATCAAGCACTGTTTATTAATATCCAGAATTAATAATCATGCATGACTGCCCAGAGAAGCCACCGAGATTCATAAGCATTCCAATAACTTCAACAGGAAGGAAGAAAGTCTGAAGGCTAACACAGTCTGATTTCCAGTTTTATGCCAAGTAAATTAACCAAAGCCATGTAGAATCAACAGCAATCTCAGGAAGGTGAATGTTTCAAAAAGAGAGCAATAAAATATTAGCCCCTTTGGAATTAAAAATTCGCCTGGATATAGAACCAATCAGAAACTGGCTTTCCAGAAATCTGACAAGATGGTCCAATTAGCAATTAAAAACACAAAAGCTCTGTCAGATCCTAGTCAGTTGCATGTGAGCTGAAGTATGTTACAGTGTTGATCACTTTATCCCTGAACATACCTGCTGCAAAATATCAATATATCAAATAATCGGTCCTTAACCTATTAGCCCTGAATCACATCTCCCTTAGATTGATGCTGGCCTTGAAAGCCTGCATCGATATCTACCCTGCTTTTCATTAAAAGTAATTCTAAAATGGGAAATTATAAAATAAACGAATAAAACCATATCAAAAGTAAAAAAAACAACAGACCATGGCAATGCTGGCTCTACAATAAAAAAAACAGCAGCACACGAACTGTTTTGAATTTTCCTAGTAATCTAAAAGTTGATATTTTTCAATTGACAAAATTATTAAGATAATTATAAAAGTAATGATTGTACTTTATACATGGTTTATAAACACAGAATACAAAAATGAAGATATATGTGGGTTGTTTTAATGCTAAAGCAGAGATGAATGCTTATAAGGAGGAATGTATACCAGGTAATTACAGACCTACCAAACTATCGTATACAGTTTTCCATCCTTCCTTCAAGCGTATAAATTCCTTTCGAATACTTCTGAAGGTTGGCAAATCATCCAGGCGGCAGATTTCATCCCATGACTTCTGGGGAAGCCAGGGGCAGGGATTAGAGTAGGGATTGTCCAGGCCTATCCCTCCTGTTAACAGGAACTTCCACTCATCCTCATTAATCTGCAATAATTTCAAACGAAATAAATTACTTAAAACTTTGACATTCAAAGATGCAGTTGTTTTATGCAGCCAAAACCAAATTCAGAGACTGTATTTTTCCAAATGTGTTAAGCGTTATATCTGATTGGAAGTTGATTGCTTATCTTGAGGCCTCCTTTATGTGTAATGTCTATTCTGGACAATCATGCAAACACTGAAGACAAAACAAGTAGAGAGAAGAGAAGAACTCTCAGATTTTCCTTGGGCAATGCTACCAGCTGAATTCAAATGGAGAAAAGCTTAGTAAGATGCAAAGATTCAACTTTCAAGGTGTTCTCAGCGCAACCCTGCAAATTACTGGAAATGGGAGCTGTTGGTTGCCACACCAATGTCCTTTTATGCTCAAAGACAACCATTTTGAATCTGAGGTGACGAGGGATCAAATCAAATTCTTCCAAATCTGTAAAACTAGGGATTCTGGTCTGGTCTTTCAGCATAACTGCAAGGACCAACCATCCAGGAGGACCCCGATGTTAATGTTGATCCGCAAAGATATGCATCATTTTAAAATTGTTTTTTTTAAAAAAAGAGTTAGCCCTTGCCTGAGGAACTTTTACTCAGGCAAAGACCAGGTTGTCTTATTCCACAGTCCTTCATAAAAGTTTGCTCATCCCCCAGATCACTTGTTCTGTTTAGATTCATATATCAACAAGATATTTCCAGGAAATAGAGGAGTCCAAATGCTTAACAATACATCATTTTAACTGGTTGCGGTATTTTAGAAAGAGAACATTTTGGTGAGTTGGTTGCTTTATCTTCTGTGCCGCAAAAAGTTTTTTTTTCTTTTTGCTTTTGTATCTTGCCTTTTCCTGGTAGCTTAAGGCAGCTTATGTGGGGAGAAAGGAAGAGTTTTATCCCCATAAACTTAAACTCAAGTGTCAAGTGGGAAGTTAAACCTAAGGGTCCCCAATAACTGAGTGTCCCCAATAAAAAATCAACCACATTCATACACGCATAGAAATGTAAACACACCCCCAACTCAGTAATATACGGCATCATATACTCTCCCTGTAGGGGCCTTCTGAGCCCTGTCCCATCCTTTGCCCATCCCTTATAGTTGTAGTAATGGAGGAAAGCTGCAAGATAAGGAAGAGCATTCTGGAAGGAGGGAGAGAAGCCGAGGAGGCTGGATCCTGGGATAAAGAAAGACAATTGTTTGGAGAGAAAAGAAGGATCTGATCTGATGCTGGTGAAGGCTGAATTAGGACAAGGGGGAGAAAACAAGCAAGCAGCAAAGGGACACGTTAGGGAGGAATACAAGGCTAGATGCAAGCAAAAGAGAAGGGCTGAAGGAGATGGAGCAACAGGGCAATGAACAGAGAGAATGGCAGGATGGGATGAGGATGCAGAAAGAAGAATGTTGGGAAATGTGTGAATGGGGCAGTAAGGGGCCAAGGGATTGCTTTAAAAGTTTCTTTAAAAGTAAACAAGCAAGTCTGACCATTTTTGCCCTTTTTACTTTCCTGCTGGAATTCAGAGCTTAGAAATATTTGTGAAAAACTAGAGCAGTGGTGGCGAACCTATGGCACGAGTGCCAGAAGTGGCACTCAGAGCCCTCTCTGTGGGCACACGGGCCGTCGCCCCAGTCCTAGGCCTTCAGCTGGGTTTTATAAAACCTTTTCGCTTTAGGCCTCCGCCGCCATGTGGGGGGAAAAAAGGTTCAATCAATCAGTCAATTTCAACTTCTTATGGGAAAAAAAAAGATCTTGCAAAATTGGAATTGATTGATTGAACTTTTTAGTCCCACCCAGTCTGCCATTACCACTGCAACCACGTCCACCCAATGGGCCACACCCAGCCAATGGCCCACACCCAGCCAATGGCTACCCGGCACCCGACGATGCATAAGTGGGTTTTGTGTTGCAGTTTGGGCACTCGGTCTCTAAAAGGTTCACCATCACTGAACTAGAGTATCAGACATTATGCAAAAATCCCATCCAGTAAGGTGTTTTAGGAGCACTAACCAATTTATCATGCTTCAGAAGATTTACATTCAGGCCGAAGGAGAAGAGCAGCTTGTCTTTTTCAAAGAGCGAGCGGCAGATGTTGACATAGAGGGAGTAAGTAAAGTGATCTTTGAGAAGCCTCAGTCTGCAAGTATTAAAAAAAAATTTGAGAAGGGATCTAAAAGACAGCAGTCTGGCAGCCCCAAATCTGAAGATCCTTGAAATTTCAATTCTACAGGAGTAATCTTTTTTTAAAAAAATTAAAGATTTTATTTTTAAAAAGCTGCACAAGGAACCTCCCTAATCCCTCAGGAGATACCCTTCAGAGGCACTCATATCTAATAGCCACCGACTTCCATGAACTGGTTCGACCCTTTTCTAAAGACTGCCAAGCTGGTTGCATTACACCTCATGGTACCAAATTCCCGAGTTGAATTATATATTTTGAAAAAAAAAAATTTAAAAATGCTTTCTTCTGTTCTGATTCTTTCAGGATTGAATTTCAATGGATGACCACTGGTTTTAATACATTGGAAAGGGGAAAATAGCCTATCCTTATCCACTTTATCCATTCCAGGCATAATTTTGTAAACCTTAGTCATCTTCTCTCTTATTCACCTCACAAATATTATGCTTTTTTTTACAGCAGATGTGCCATGTGTTAACACCTTCAGTGAACTGTTTACTGTTATTTCAAAGTGTCTTTCCTCCAACAATTTTCTTAACAACAAACTAGGGCCTAAACCAAAAGCAAGTGCACATGTTATTGTGTCCCTCCCCCCATCCCATCTCACTAAGCTATATTATGGCTTAATGTGGTTGCCTGACTGACATAACTTACTAAGCATTGAATGCTACCATTTTGCCATACAGTCCATTTGAAAACCATCACATGTATTCAATGAGGGGTCCTTGGTGCTCTCTGAGCTTGCTTGTTTTCTTGCAGACGTTTCATTACCCAAACTAGGTAACATCATCAGTGCTGGTTGTTTCATTACCTAGTTTGGGTAATGAAATGTCTGCAAGAAAACAAGCTCAGAGAGCACCAAGGACCTCTTATGTCAACCCTGAGCTACAAATATTCTCCTTTATTAGTACATGTATTTAATTTCTGTTATTGTACTTTCCGACAGGCCCATGTAGTTTTGCAAAGCAGTATCTCCGAGCACTTACAATCAGTACCCTTGTCTAACTACAGTTAACATTGCCAGAAACATAGCTGGCCCATTTAAAGTGGTAACAACTTGAAATTGTAAGTAATGGTTCCAAAGTCAGAATAAATAGGTCCAAACACAAGAAAACAGCAAGCAATCAAGCATCCAAAAAGTACAGAGAGGGTGGGGGTGTTTATTATTTAACAGTCCCAAGCTACCAATGAATATCACATAAAATCTAACACTGAACTCAATTTTCACAGCACATTATTTTTTAAATGACTTTTCAGTGAAGTCAGCTTAAATGCTGTGTCCAATTAACTGAAGATACTGAAATTAGTCAAGCTAGGTCTGCCTAATTTTCTCAAGATTTGGTATTTAAGGCTTGTTTTGGTATTTATATTGAATTATTAAAGAACACTTGGGAGGGAGGGGAAGCTTTGAATGAAAAACTTATAAATGTTCCAATCACAGCTCCATATCTTTCTTACACAGTTCTTCAGAGTGAGGCATTTATCTCTTTCAAAGTATTTGGTCTCCAATACTTTAAACTTGCACAGGTAAAATATGCCCACAACAACAACTTCTCTCTTCATATAGCCTTAAGCATATTAAAGACAGTTTATAAAGGCATACATTGCTTTGTTTTCATTTTACCAGAACTCCAACATTGAAAACTAAAAAAACCAGACTTGTTTTGTGAAGCAGAACAGAACAAAAGCCACACTTTTTCTCTGTAAAAATCCACTCCTGCATATCCACAATTTGCCCATTCCCCCTGATATAATTTAAGATGGTTGCCATTCTGCACTGTTACCTTTAGAACAATTTTGGAAAATAGAAAGTGGCATACAAATACTTTAAGCAAATAAATAGTGGGAGTCTGAAGTCCACTACAAATAATCTGGAATTCTACTAACAGATCCAGATCTGCTCACCCTGGTTCAAACTACAATAAAATACTCTTTTTGTTGAGGGGGGGAGGCAGGGAAGCCCATAGTTAATCCAATGAAATCAGAACACACATGCTAATTTGATTAATATGTAACTTGATTAATATATAACTTAATTCCAGTCCCAGATTGAAGTTGTTTAGTAGACTTAGAAGAAAATCCCATCTCCACTTACTTGTGTACTGGTTCCCCTCTTACTCAGTTTTTTTGTTAATTTTTAATGTTCAAAATTTTTATAATTTATATTGCTGTTTTATGATGCTGTAAGCCATGCAGAGTCACTCGACAGTGAGATGGGTGGCATATAAATTGAATAAATATATTTTATGTAGATCTTGTCAATATAATTAATAGCCTAAGTAACAAAAACAGAAAATCTCAACCCACCCATTCCTGCTAGATGCTCCATAGTTAGAACAGATGGTAAAAGCAGCAATAGAATCATAATTATTTCATATACCTTTCTTGCAAAATATCTGACTTTTCTGAGTTGTCTATAGACATGATGAAGAGGTTGATGAACCAGGTTAAGGAATACTGGTACATGGGCTCAATATTGGCCAGATCGGCAATTGAAAAAAAGAGGATTGATGAATGAACTGCAATGGGGCGGTAGCCCATCCGGGTAGCATCTATTTTCCTTTCCGTTTCTTCTGCTACAGCTTGCTTTTCTGAAATTTCATTAGCCAAAGCTTTAGAAGAGGATAATATCTTGATAGCAGTCTCGTCTTCCAAAATATTTCCTTCAGATGATGACAGAACTTCTAAAATTTTGTCCTCTATTTCCTGTAGCTGTCTATAACAAGAGAACTAGATTAATACCTTGTAGAACCTCTGAGTGATCTAATCCAAATATGATTTGATATAGTCAAGGGACCACAGAATATTAATTACTTTAGAAACAAAAGTGGATTTGAGGGATCAAATCTTTGAGAGTTACTTTAAACTTTAAAGTACTTCCAAGAGAAAACAGACACAAAACGGATTTTGTACAACAATTTCTTGACCCATTCCAGCCGATCAGCAGAACACAGATAGCTCTACATCAGCTTTCCCTAATTTGATGCTTTCCAAATGTGCTGTACGTTAACTTCCATAATCCTCATTAAAATCTAAAATATAATAGAGTACATCTGCTGAAGAAGCCCATTTTACTGAAATCATGAGCTTTCCACTCTTGGAAAAAAAAATAATAGTGGGCTCAGTTCAATTCCTATCTCCTAAATCTCTCTGATCTATGCTAATCTTGGGGAAAGTCCGAGTTGCTCTTCTCAATGGCCAGAGATCTTTCATAATTCTACTCTGTCCCTCAACTGCCTTTCTAAGCTGCATTTTACATTGAAAATAATGAAGTCCACTTTGGAATGCAGCAGTCTTTCCTAGTCTGGTACTTTTCATATGTTTATCATCAACTTCTCATGTGTCCACTCACAAGAAAGATTCATTATTATGGTATTTAGAAAAATAAATCAAGAGGAACCTCTGTTATCAAACAGCATCTAGAATCTGATCTAGTATTAGCTATTTAGTACTTCACCATGCAGTAGCCAGATGTCAACATTAAACATTGGCACTTCTCTGTTTCCCCTTAAAAACTATTTAATGGCCTCTGAAAAAGTAGGAGATTCCATATAACTATCATGGACAGCTTGCTCCGTTAAGGTGCCTAAGTCCTTTATAAAACCATCTAAGCTAGTGACTACATCTTACAAGGATAAAGTCTATATATGAGCTATCCAGTGGGTGTTTTTGCACAGCTATTTAACCAAGGTAAAGACCCAATGACTCCTTTTGTACCACATGCTAAAACTCGGTTAATATAAACTTCATTAGTTTTCTTGTGGTTTAACATATAATAGGCATTGAATCACTCAGTGGTACAGAAGGCATTATAAATTACAGAGGAATGTCAAAAATGTTACTTATCATATTTCAATTGTTTCAGTGAAGGATTCTCTGTCTAAACACAGATAGTCATTGGCCCTTTGTAGCAGACTCCTTAAAAAGCCTTGTTTGAAAGAGAAATAATGTCCTCAAAATCTCTCCATATGTTATGGAGAATTCTTTGCCAATAAAGCTCAAGAGTACAGTCACAGACTAATATTCACTTTGCTGACGTTTCAATTATCTACAAATTCAGATCACACTTTACAGTGAACAGAAAAGGTCTTGTTAGCCCAACCTTTTCACAATTCTTATTTCTCCAGTAACAAAGTCAATTAATTTTTACCAAGAGCTGCACAATTAAAGATGAAGTACAAGTAATCCTCAATTTACAACCATGTTAGGGAGTGTACAACTTGTTATTAAACAGTGCAGTCATTAAGTGATGTATCACATGACTATACCCAATTTTACTTTTACCACAGACATTAAGCAAATCACCGAATGTCATTAAGTGAGACACCATGTAACTGTGACTTGCAACTTCCTACTGGTGTCAGAAACCAGCTGAGAAGGTTACAAATATATACCGCTTCACGGTGCTTTACATCCCTCTCTAAGAGGTTTACAGACTCAGCATATTGCCCCCAGCTATCTGGGTCCTCATTTTATTGACCTTGGAAGGATGGAAGGCTGAATTAACTTTGAGCCGGTCAGGATCGAACTCCTGACTGTGGACAAAGTTAGCCTGCAACACTGCTTTCTAACCACTGCGCCATCACAGCTCACATGACTGCAGGATGCTGCAACTATTGTGTTAACCAGTTCCCAAGAGCCCATATTGCAATCACATGATTACAGGAGCATTGTGACAATTTTAAGTGCAAGGACCAGTCGTACATCACTTTTTTCAGTGCCATCATAAATTTGAATGGTCGTTAAATGGATGGTTGTAAGCCCAGGACCACTGTAGGTTAATTACTTTCTCTCTGTAGAACATTATCATTCAGTTGAGATAATTTTCTATCAAATAATATTTTGGTACTTTTTATTTTCAGCTCCTTGTAAGATCAGGGCTTGCTTTTCTTCTTCCAGATCTGGCCTCTCTCTTGCAACAACTATTCCAAGCAGCTGATCTTGCATCCCCTCTGAGGTTATCATGAAATTTAACAAAGTTACCTGAAAATTTCAAGAGTTCCAAGTTAGAATTAGAACCAGATAAGCCAAAACCCAATAGTAATCTCCAGCTATCCAAATAAGATACTTAAACTTTAGGATGCTATGTTACATTCCAACACAATGGTCTCCAATTTTCTTGGCACCAGAGCCAGTTCTGTGGAGGACAATTTTTCCACGGACCTGGGGGGGGAAGATGGTTTCGGTTTCGGTCGCTCACCTGCAGTGCAGCCCGCTTCCTAACAATGACGTTTGGGGACCCCTTTCCTAACATATATCAAACATTTCTGAGAAAGAGAAGAGAATAGCTTCTGCTTTTGTCTGAAAGTTGTCCTCTTCGCCATATGGCAGTCTTCTCCAAACAAGTACTTCCAAAATATATTTTCATGATTTCTAGAATTCCCATACTTGTGGTTAGCAGGTGGAAATTCTCAGAATTACACTTTCAGTACAAATGGAAAGTGCTGGGTTGGAGAAGACTGCCATAAAGTAATTCTCACCTAGTGGCCAGAAAATAACAGCACTCTATGCCCAAAGAGAGCATTAGAGCCCTAGTAAAACCAACTTAGCACAGATCATCATGGAGAAAACCTACCTATTTGGTCATTAAGACTTGGCAATTACTTGGCTGCCACATAATCAAGCAAAATCTCTGGGTTGGACTTTGATAAATTAGCTTTCAACTCAGCTGCTTTTCCAGAGAAAGTGATATCAAGACAGGTTTTGCCCTATTTATTTTGGAATTGCAGGGTTGGCAAAGTCTGATTGATGGGAACACCTGCCTCCAGCTTCCTGTTCCACAAAGTTTTCCCTATCCTGAAACCAAGACACCTTGATGCTTTTTCTATTCTTCCTCATAGAGGCTGTTTGGTTCCTCCCGCTCCCTTCCCCCTCCCAAAAAGCAAATGCAAATATTAGAGTTGTTGGATGTCAATGGATTACAATGGATTTTTCACATTCCTCTAGCAATAGCAATAACAATAACACTTAGATTTATATATTGCTTCATAATGCTTTACAGCCCTCTCTAAGCGGTTTACAGAGTCAGCATATTTCCCCCAACAATTTGGGTTCTCATTTTACCAACCTCGGAAGGATGGAAGGCTGAGTCAACCTTGAGAGGGTCAGGATCAAACTCCTGGCAGTCAACAGAATTAGCCTGCAATACTGCATTCTAACCACTGCACCACCATGGCTCATAGCAGGACAGGGGTGTCAAACTGCTGGCCCACTGGCCAGTTGCATCATGCAGAGGCTGCGCCCACCCCAACTCCAGCAATGCAAAAAAAGTTGCGATACATCGCAACACGTCACGTGACACGGCAAGTTTGACACCCGTGCAGCAGGAGATTGGGAGGCAGAATGTAGTGAAAAGGGCAGCAATAAAGAGATTCTTACAGCAATATAGAAAAAAGTAAAGAAAACATAATAGAGGAGCTTTTAATTTAACGTTGGGATTTACCCTGATCCTTTACCCTGGACTGAACTGACTTTTGTTAATGCTGAAGATGAATACCTGTTCAGAACATAAGAGAACCTCTGGAATTGATCCATGGAAGATATATGGCCTATTCACATTCAGTCTTTGTCATTTTTACTGCCTTCTTCCCAAAAGTATTGTTAGATACTTTGTATTAGTATTAATATGCTTAAATATTTTTAAAGTTATATATAATACACATAAACGCTCACATATAGGTCAGCGGGAGAGAGTGGGAAAAAGCATCTGCTCATATTAATGTTATTATGTGCGTTATATATGCATGCAAGTGCATAGGGAGAAGATTAAGAAAGGGATTGTGGTACTGCTAATAAGATCATCCACTTGCTTATGAAACAAAAGCCAAACCACCTGCGGTTCCCAGGCAAAATGCTCACTTTGACCGAAGTTTCTGGGAGGTAGTGGGGGTTTCGCAGCTTGGTTGTAATGTAAAAGCGAAAGTCTGGAGCGTATTCAATGGTCGAATCCCCAAGGCGGATGCAGATGCTGCCAGCCTGCTTGAAAGTCTGCTTAAGCAGAAGAGGCTCCAGAATGGGGTCCAACTCTTCGGCGACATTTTCTAGCAGCACTTCAGTTCAGCAAGAAATTGAGACAAACCATAAATTTACAAGATGCAAAAACAAAGGACACAAAGCACACACAATGCTACCAGTATATCAGTAATATATTTTCAACTGCAGTGGAAAGCAGTCTTGGAGACTCGATAATTGGAAGACGAGTAGAAAATATAAACATTTGCAGACTAACTCCAAGTCCCTATCTTTACTGTTACACATGACTATCACTCATAAAATCTGATAGCTGTAAATGTTAACGTAGGAAAAAAATAAGGAACCTCTATTACAAAATTTGGAAAATTAATGGTTGGAAATATAGTGCCAATAAAATAATTTTTATTCTTTTTGGATAGGATTGTCCAAAGAGATAAAATTATGCAAGTTGAACAAATAAAGGGTGTAGGAAATGGAAGTACTACATATAATGAAGGCCAAGTATAGAGCTGAATCAGCATGTCATGAGATATATACCTTTAAAAGCAAAGCCTAAAAGAAATTAAGAGAACATTCCTTCAGTTCCACAAAGATGTTATAACTTATAAGTGATAAATAAAACTGAGAACATATGTGCAATATGGTCAAACTCCCATCGGTTTTAATTTTGTTCTTAAGTTTAAGTTTAAGTTTAAGTTTAAGTTTATTGCATTTATATCCTGCCCTTCTCCTAGTGGACTCACATGGAAAATACAATCCGCATAATGCCAAAGATGTATTTATTGTGAGAAATATTAGATGAGATACTATGGCCTAAATCCCCACCTGTCTGCAAGTTTTTCCCAATTTGCAGGATTATTAATTGGTTTTGAAATGTAAAATAGTTTACTATCTGATGTATTACATTACACCTAAATGATTCTAACAATTATAAAAATTAATCGTGGACTGTGCAAATTTGCATGAAAAATCTACTTTTAAAGACTTGATCGCTTACCAGGTGTACCAAACTGAACACAGTTTTCTAGTGTTCGTACAAATTCACTGTCACTGAGCTTTATGACATGCAAGCTGTTGGTTTTTTCCATATTTTTCACCCATTTGTTTGCTTGACCCTGAGGGTCAATCATAAGTGGCCATCTTCTTGCATTTCTGGAGAGAGAAAACAATGGAATACCTCAGCGTTGTGAATTTGCACGGCACATTTACTTGGGGCTTTATTATGTCCACTCAATCAGGTCCGATTCTCAGAGACTGCCTGGACAAGTCCCTGCAATTTCCTTGGCAAGAACTTTCAGAAATGGCTTGCCATTGCCTCCTTCTTAGGGCTGAGAGAGTGTGCCTGGCCCAATGTCACCCAACTGGCTTTGTGCATAAGGTGGGAGTAGAAATCATGGCCTCCTAATTTCTAGCCAGATGCCTTAACCACAATATCAATCTGTCCCTTGTACCTAAACACATTTACAAGATCCCAATATGAAAATAAGTGTTTTGTGAGCCAGAATAGTGCAGAACAGTGTCAAGAATTCTCTCTTGACTTTCTTTGAAGAAGTACCTATTTCCTTCCAGTTTTATGCTTTCACTTTCTGGGCCCTTGCAAAAGGAAATAAGCTAGCATCCACAAACGTGTGAGATATAATTCAAGGTGAAAATAGAACTCCCCTCTTTTTGTAGTAATCACAAGCACATGTCTTTTTCCCATGCTAGTTATTGTTATCCACCCAACAAAAGAAAATGAACGGATGCTCCACATTCCTTTCATATAGGCCAGTGATGGCGAACCTTTTAGAGACCGAGTGCCCAAACTGCAACCCAAAACCCACTTATGCATCGTTGGATGCCGGGTGGGTGTGTCCCATTTGATGGGTGTGTCCCATTGGATGGGTGTGTCCCATTGGATGGGCGTGGCTGGGGTGGTAACGGCAGACTGGGTGGGACTAAAAAGTTCAATCAATCAATTCCAACTTTGCAAGATCTTTTTTTTTTCCTGCGAGAAGTTGAAATTGACTGATTAAACCTTTTTTTTTTTTTTGCACACGGCGGCGGAGGCCTAAAGCGAAAAGGTTTTATAAAACCTAGCTGAAGGCCTAGGACTGGGGCGATGGCACGCGTGCCACCAGAGAGGGCTCTGAGTGCCACCTCTGGCATTCGTGCCATAGGTTCGCCACCACTGATATAGGCCTTCCTGCATTCATCAGTTGTGTCTCAATTTCAATGCAGTGTTGATTTCACTCCCCAGTTCACTAAGCAAGCAGATCTGTAGTCAACACAAGGGCAGTTCTATAAGCAAATGCTAATCTACATGGTCAACAGCCTTAATCATCCAGTTTAGCTGAGTGATTTGAAGAATTTAAAAGTATATAGCTATAGGCCACTGTTCACATCTTTCCACAAATGCATAAAGATCAGGAAGATAGAATTGGTGGTGATTTTAGAAGCAGGTATTGGCAGGATGGAGCAGGATTAAGTAGCAAGCCTCCCTCCCTCTGTCAGTGAACATTGAACAACATTTGTTTCGAACGGATCTGGAAACGGAAGCAGGTATTGGCATCTAGAACACTATTCCAATTGGAAAAGGTTGCCTTACAAAACAGCAAATTCATGTTTGAATCTCTGCATATACTTAACATAAGAATAACAAGTGCTTTAATCTAAAGACTGCAACTTCATAAAGCAATAAAGGAACGAAGCATTTAATCCAAGGAAAGTATGAACACTGAGTTAGTTCTTTTGCTATTTTGGGCCCATATTACCAGATTCCCAATGGCTTCCAATGAAGGGTTTTCTATAGCTCTGCCATTTTAGATTTTAGACATTTTTGATCTTCTCAACCTGGCTTTCTTCTGGCATTCCAAGCCAGCATATTCAGAAATTACATTAGCTTGTAATTTAAGATTTCATCAGCCAACAAGCTGCAGGATGAAAATTTAGAGAACAATGCTTTAAATGCGAAGGATTATGTCCTGAGACCTTTTGCATGCGTTTCACTACTAAAGACTCCATATTATGTTTTTAAAATGAAAAATATACAATAGTATCTTATTGCGCCCCTACAAGTAGAAAATAGCATACAATACTCTCCAAAGAAATAAATTATGCCTATCTGAAGTTTCTGTACTTACGAGATAATAATACCATTATCAATGGAAAATAAATCGGAAGGCAGCCCAGCTATGTTCCAAGCTCTAATTTTCACTGCTTCTCCTAAAGTTGTAGTTAGAGAAAAATCATCCGAGCAGGGAATGCCTCTGGCTTTGCATGTCAATATCCAGTCCCGGGCTTGATTCTGAAAAGGGAAAATGCTAAACATGGGCCAGCTATTTTGAAAAATGGTTTTAGTGTTACGAGGCTCATTGGCAGCATCAATGACTTGTCACTCTTGACAATTTGCTGGGACAAATTTGAGTTCCTTTTGATTGTTTTTAATCAAATGCCTTCTACTAAAAAGCAACAATGTAATACTTACAAAGTTATTCCCAAGACGTATGTTAGTTATTATTTATTTAATGAAACTTAAAATGAACAGATCTTTTTTTTGCCTTTCAATTAGCCCTGATTTTATCCATTTCTTCCATTTTGCCCTTGGGGAGAAACATCATAATCAGAGAGTGAACTCAGAAGTGTACATAGTGAAAGACCCCTAATACTGTTTATCAACAAGGGCTGAAATCTAGAGAGATGTACACACCTGGTATTCTGAAGATTAGGCATCATGTACTTCAGGGATGTCAAACTGCCGGCCCGCAAGCCGGACGTGTTATCCGGAAGCCACGCCCACCCCATTGCTGGCAATGGCAAAACCGTCCAGATACGTTGTGCGACGTCACGTGACATCGCGAGTTTGACATGTCTGATGTACTTAGTGAAAGCTACAGTTATATGCAGAAGGCCTTAATTAACAGTTTATGACACTAAACGTTACAGTGCAAAATAATTGTTTCAGTTGTTAAACAGTATGACTGGGTACGCTTCTAGGATCAATCTAGAAAGCTCTCAAACACATAATAGTGTGCAATTTTCGATTGGAATTTCTCAGCATCTAGTTTGGATGGGTGAGAGGTATATATCATTCATCCAGATGGGTCAGGTGTATATATCTCATTTTGGGGAAAAAATCCTTCTAGGCGACTTATAGCCTATATCAAAATCTGCTGAACAGCAGAAAAATGATCATGCTATGATTGAAACAGACTTATTGGAGGACGAGGGATGACATGATAGCGGTGTTCCAATATCTCAGGGGCTGCCACATAGAAAAGGGAATCAAGCTATTCTCCAAAGCACCTGAAGGCAGGACAAGAAGCAACAGATGGAAACTAATCAAAGACAGAAGCAACCTAGAACTAAGGAGAAATTTCCTGACAGATAGAACAATTCATCAGTGGAACAAACTGCTCCAGAAGCGGTGAATGCTCCAACACTGGAAGTTTTTAAGAAGAGACTGGACAGCCATTTGTCTGAAATGGTATAGGGTTTCCTGCCTGAGCAGGGGGTTGGACTAGAAGACCTCCAAGGTCCCTTCCATTATTATTATTATTATTATTATTATTATTATTATTATTATTATTATTATTATTATTATTATTATTATTATTATTATTATTATTGAGATAATGAGCATGCATGGGGGGAGACACTCAAATATGCACAGAATAAATAATGTGAAGGAATTTGTGTTCTGATGCAGTTGATGCCTTTGTTTTTCTGTTAATATAATTTAATACTTTTTTTAAAAAAAACAAGATGTTTGCAGAGCAAAGCATCAGGATTCTTTTAACAATCTAAGCTGGAGACTGGTAGCTCTGAATATTTGTGCAAGAGCAGGAAGCAGAAAATTCTAGCAAAGCAGGCTTTTCACCTGCTTTACTTTTTCTCATAGAAAGATGGAAATGAGAACTGAAAAGGAAGGCAGAACAGCTAGAAGTCATCTGATTTTACCCTCCTTTTCCTTGGAATCCTTCCCACAGAGATGGAGGTTGGTTGTTCTGGGCAGGACAGGAATATCCAGGCAGAGCTGTTCCAACTACTTCTTTCCCACAGAAACGAATATAATTCATAATAGGTAGAAAACAGAATTACTTTTAAGACAGAATGTTTTTACATTAACAAAGTTGGAAATAAGGAACTAAGGAGACTAAACTGGATGGTCTTAAATAGTAATGGAAGTGAATATGCCTTCAGAGAACAGTTAAGCATTTTAAAGTCAATCAACTGGAAGCACCTACTCATATGGCCTATATCAGGGGTCTTCAAACTTGGCTCTTTTATGACACTGGCTGAGGAAATCTGGGAGTTGAAGTCCACAAGTCATAAAAGGGCCAAGTTTGAAGACCCCTGGCCTATATGTTCATAGAAACCTGCCATGCCATGGAATAAGTTAGCTACACTGTTTGAAATGTTGAACTTGGGAACTGAATGTAAAATAACATTTCAAAGAACTTTGAAATTTCTTAGGCAATAACTCCAACTCCAACTCAAAACGTTGACTTAAGGATAATAACCTGTCACTTGTAAATAAAATCAAGTTAACTATGGAGTATTAGAATAACTTAAATCTATTTTGTGGCGGATATAAAATCAAACATAAAAATATGCAATTCTTTTTCCTACCAGAATTATTGCTCGTGTTTCATACTTACGCTCTACAAATCCTCATTTATTTATTAAGAAATTAACAAAGGAAAGAATATTGTTTATGGATGGAGGAATTTCAGAAGAATGAAAATGACTGTACAACCACACAAAAATAAAACGGAGGATTCAAGTATCAAACATTTTTTTATTATCATCCTTATAAATGTCTCAGTTCTATTATGCCTTCTTAATAGCTGCATTGGCTGCATTAGTCTAATGAAGAAAAACATAATTGTGCAGAAATATTTTGCAATTTGGGAGAGTCATAATCTTAATCTAACTTCTCCATGGGCCTGAATTATGATGTATATTAGCTCTGATCCAGCTAAAGCATTATGATTAATTCCCACTGAAACCAGGAAAAGATTTAAAATCTCCCATGGCTTCCAATGAGACAGTCACAAATTGTTTTGTGGGTTGAGGTTAGAATCTGTTATGTTTCATATTTCAGAAATATGAAAATCAAAACTCTGCCTAAATTCCCTACCCTTTTTAGAATACCAAGCATTTTTAAGGCTACTTACACATGTCTCCACAGGGTGTACCTTATCAACCTTAAGAAGTGATTTATACAGAGAACACAATGTGTAACTAAGCCTATCGGTGCCTTGCCAATTTAGAAAGAGTTCTTATGAACAGCTCAAAAATGAGCCAAGAAATTGAGTTGAAACACATGCGAAATCCTGAGCATCCATGGTTTTCTCCAAGTATTTTGCTATAGTCCTTCGGTTTAGTTACTACAGGCAAAAACATTTTACTTGACTGCTTTCTTATGAAATGCTGCACATTCTAAAGGGAAGAAGCTGTTGCTCATAGAACTGCAGGCCATTAGTCCTTCTATCTCTGTATTGTCTGCAACTAATTGACAGTGGCTCTTTGGGGTTTTGGAAAAGGACTATATCCAAGGCTGCATGGAAATGTCAGGAACAACTACAAGTCAAACCTGTACTCTTTCTCGTGCTGAATTGCACGGCAATCCTTGTATATGGAACATCTCAAGATTAATATAGGTCATTTCTCCTTAAAACAGTATTTCCCATATATAGTTGAATTATAATATATCAGCTCTAACCAATAATAACTGCCAATAATTAAAGATAGTGTGAGTTACAATCCAATACTACTTAAGGCCCAGTTTAGGAAAGGTCCCACCAATGGTCTATATTAGTTGGCAGTTATGATGTACCAAAGTTAAAGATGATTATCTTAAATTTAAAAAGTCTTTTTTTTAACAATGATACCTTCATAATTTTCTCCTATGTTGTTTTCATAACAATGCTTTTATTTTCAAGCTGAGGTAAAGGTATGTGTTTGGATATTGAGTAAAAACTATTACTTATTTGCTGCAGAAGCATTTAGCTTACTAAATGTCATACATTTATTCAATTGTTTGTTCATTCCTTACTTGTCGGTAGTGTGATGTGAAGGCTCCCAAGTAAGCTACAATGCCAGATGAGATGAGGATATCGCCTGTCAAATTGACATATTGTTTTCCTAGTTGCAAAGCTGCCTGGCTCCAACGGGTTTTCTCACCCCCAAGGCCACCGAGTAATTTTTCTGCTCGGTCTAGCTTTTTGCTACACAGGTCAACCTTAAAATCGAAATATAAACTTTAAAAAAAGCCATCCCAGGTAATGCTACTATTACAAATAGTTACATGCTTTACTTTCAATGCTTATGAAAATATTATATACAGTATGTATTGCTACTTATTATTACTACTGTCATCATCATCATAGAAAAGTTTTTATATTTGAAACCCCAAGATGGAAAAACTGAGAGCAATGTGCGTGACAAATTGTCACAGATGAATTCAACAAGGTCAATAGCATTTCCATTCTTCTTGCCTTCAAATAAATTATTGCTTCACTTTCCAGTGCGAAATTGATAATGGATTTATATGCGATACCAAAAACAGTTGCATCTCAAAAAAGGAATACATATCATACAAGAGCATGACATTGACTTATGAAGGTCATTCTTACACAGATGTGGCCCGTGAATTGAATGCATTTCTGGGAGCTTTCTATCTGGCAGTTTGTCGAAAATGTTTTCTCTAATAAATCTTTAACATTGAACTAGCTGCAGTGCCAGCAGTGTGGAATGGCGGCACTTTCTTTGAGTCCTTGGCTCTTGAATAACTTTCCCTAACTTGGTACTTTCTGCATACCTTGTGGTGAGATGGGAGGCAAACAAATTTAATAAACAAGCAAATGAAAAGGGTCAACTCCCTAATCCCAGTCAGCATCTGGCAGGTGAAACTTTAGGGAAAGCATCTCTTTATTAGTTGCTTCCTCTTTTCCCAAGAAAGGTTAAACTATGTCCTATTGCAAACATGCCTCTCCATGCTTGCTTTGTGCTCTTGGCTAGTAGTTCATCAACAATAGAGTGTGGACAGACCAGGGCAAGTGGGAATAGTCCCTGGTATCCTGATGCAAATAAGAGTAAAACCCAGCAGTGTATACACAGGAATGCTGGAAGGCATGGAGAGGCCTCATTTATTCCAGCAAACCTGTTCAACATAGGAAGGGAAGACCGTAGCTGAGCATACACCATCACAAAATCGAACTTTCTGACCTCTCCAAGTATCCTCCCACACAAAAATCATCCATTTGACTAAGGGAAAGCCAGCTGCTCCCCTGAATTATTATTAAAAAATACTACCCCCAAATCCAAAGAGAGTTTCTTATACAAAAATAATATATCTTTACGCATTCTGCATTCTGTCATGCTCAAGTCTTTGCAATCTGCCATCCAGGTAACTAACTTGCACCAGGATGTAAGGATTTAAGCTCCATTTAACCACTAATTGCTTTTGTTTATATCCTTTTTATCGCTAGAAAGTTGAAGCAATGTACATGAGAATATCCTCTTCCTCCTTTATCTACATCTCTGTGAAATGACCTTGTCTGAGCATGGTCAACTCAGCATCAGTAAGTTCAGTAGTTGAATAGGAAACAGAATCAGAGCGTCCTCGCTCCCCGCTCAAAAAAACATCATCTTCACCTCTACATTATTCATATAACTCCACATTATTCATATAACAACAAGTTTTTAGTATAAATTAGTTTTGATGTTATCATTTGTGGTAAATGTAGGAAAGTGATAACTATCAACACAATCTGGTATAACGAAGAGTCCAGCATGTGATTAATAAATTAACTGAAATGGTTTAGTAAAATTCCACTATTATCTTCAGAGTTTGTGGCTGTTGCTTCAATCCTCAGGTCTACTTTGGAGATCTGGCATATGATCTACATTTTATTTTAATTCAGAAAGACAAGAACTCTTTGAGAATAATGCTCTTTGAGAGCATTTGGTAAGCATCCTGAGCAGGGTTGTGAAAAATGGGAAATAAATGAAGAAGCAAAGAAACAAAAAAAGGTTAAAGTTGAGGACGTAGGCTTCTTTTCTGCATTTTTGATATTTGAAGATGGTTGTTACTTACCTGGTTTTCTAAGTCAGCTTTTTCCTGCTTTTTTTGTTCCAGAGTTTTCTGTAGTTGTGCTAACTTGTATTGAACTTCCTTCAGGGCTGCTTGCTTTTTTCTCAAACCGTCCATAGCAATTTTCAGTTCCCCTTCAGCTGCATTGAGTTTTATCTTTTTGGGGGCAACAACTTTTGCCACTCTGAAACAACAACAATAATGAAGGAGCTCATCCTTGTTACACATCTACATGCAAATATTATACATTTATCTGCTCTTTCCGCACACATTACATAAACACACACAAACATTCCTGCATATACACTCCACTAACAAAGCAATAGAAATTCTTATCTGCAATTCAAAGTATCACATGACTTATGGACTGTTATCTGTCTTCCTCTAAAATATGAAGACCCCGGAGGATAATTTGAGCAAAAGTAAAATCCTAAGCATTTTAATTATTTGATAATTGGGATGTGATGTTGTCCTTTGCCTTGTCAAATTTGGATCCTCTCTCTTATTCTTTGTGTTAGCGATATTCTTTAAAGCCCAAATGTCGCTAGGATACAAGTAAAAAATGTGATATATTCAGACATCTCTGGCTCTGCGAATGATGTAGGATCTACATCTATTCAGATTTTTTAGAGGGAGAAAAAAGAAAGTAATACATTCTCATATAGTACACTGTATGTATGTATATAATGATAGACAGAGACCAGTTTGGTCTAATGTTTAAGGTGCTGGCCTAGAAACCAGGAGACCGTGAGTTCTAGTCCAGTCTTAGACATGAAAGCCGGCTGGATGACCCTAGGCAAGGCACTCTCTCTCAGGCCAACCTTCCTCACAAGGTTGTTGTTGTGAGGAAAATAGGAGGAGGAAGGAGTATTATGCATGTGCGTTGCCTTGAGTTATTTATTAAAATAATAAAGGCAGGATATAAATAAATATATGTAAATCTGCTATCTGTTCACTTGTTATGTAGGAAAAAAAAGCCATCCATACAATGCTGTTCAAATGTTCTGTTAAACATACTTACATAAAAATAAACATAATTATGCAACCCAATAGTTAATGCAAACTGGGAAAGTTTTTTAAGCTAAACAACAGGATGCAAGAAAAGGATGGAGGAGTAGAGGCAGAGTTGGTAGGAAGAGGTAGGAAACTCTTACTAGATATTCTAGATATTCTGAAGTTGGTATTAAGATTTAATGAATCGAGTGGTGAGAAAGGGGGACAGAAGGGAGAGAAAGACAATACTTTGAAACATAAGCAGAAATTCAACGCAGAACCATATAAAAGCCCCCAGGTTTGAGTGAAGCACAGAAGCAAAGGAAGAAGGAGAGGGCACCAGGAACTAGCAGAACAGGAAGTTCCTTTCTGCTCTGCTGGCAGTAAGAATAAGAAGCAAAATATGTATGGTACAAAGTTTTTTTTTCCGCCTGGGATCCCACACCCTGCAGCTTTGCACAAGAATGCAAAGAAATCAGGCGCATCCATTGGCAGCTCAACCAAAGAGGGGGCTAAATTTTCACCCTAGAGAAAAGTCACCTCATGGATTCTGCTGGGGGAGGTCTGAGACCAGAAGACCTGCCCTGAAAGGATTGAGATGGGCCAGACGGGAGAGGATCTAATTCAGAGAAGGGATTGAGGAAGCTCAGAGAAAGAGAGCAAGTTCTATACCAGTGATGGCGAATCTTTTAGAGACAGAGTGTCCAAAAACTGGCCCCGCTCCCACTCCACCCTCCTGCCCCGCCCCTGCTCTGCCCTCCCATTCCCCGCCCCCCCCTGCCCACAGGACCACTCACCGCCTCCAGGGCCCGCCGCAGATCACCCAGGCAGCCCAGCAGCGCTATGGCGGCCACACCCTCTGCCCGCGCCCTGCAGCATCAACTGCATGATGGGGTGTGAGGGCAGAGTCCTGTCTATGCTGCCTGGCTGCCATGTCTTTGGCTGCGCTGCTCCGTGTGGGCCACGCTCAGGAGTGACTCTCCTTCAGGGGGGCTGCTGGAGAGGAGGGGGTCACGGGGGGAAGCAAGGCTGGGCAATGGCACGTGTGCCCACAGAGAGGACTCTGAGTGCCACCTCTGGCACCCGTGCCATAGGTTCGCCACCACTGTTCTATACCGTAGGAGGCTTTGCAGAGAAAGCAGTTTGATTTGAGTCCATTTGTCAAGACAAGGAGCAAAGTTGGTCTGTTTGGATTTTACAAGTCTTCTTTATCATTAAAGAGACTGCTCGATCTATTTTACAAGGGAGTGGACAGGCTGGAAGATTCCTAGCCACTGAGTAAAATAGCTTAATGGCGTTTAATGTTACCACTGTTACTGTACCAGCGTTATATGTGTGGGATTCTTTTATTATTATTATTATTATTATTATTATTATTGGATGGCGCAGAAAGCAAGGAAAACACCCTTTAGCATGCCTTGCTGGCGGGATACTTGGCAACAGGCTTGTTTGAACTCAGGACCAGGGTTGTATTATATTACAAGACTGGAAGAAAAAGAGAATTGTGGGTATAATTACAATTTATGTAACTGGCAAATCTACAAGGTTAATTGATATGAATCTGGATGGCTGCCAGCTCCCACATGTATTTGGAAATAAACAAAAAAACAAGATAATGTTGCCATATCCTCTAATCATAAAGAAGACTGTGTATATTGCTATGCCATCGCTTGGGGAGAAGAAACAACCACAACACACTTCCCCATAGGCCAGGGGTAGACAACCTTGGCTCTTTTATGACTCATGGACCTTCAACTCCCATAAAAGAGCCAAGGTTGCCTACCCCTGCCATAGGCCAACCCAACATTCTTCATTGACTTTATGATTTGAAACCATTACTTACTTATCATAGGAGTCCATGGCTATGACCCATTTGCACAGCCCTTCTGCAGCTGTGGAAGCATTCCGAATTTTTTCAGGAACAAACTCTGGATTGGTGATGTACTGTTTTCTAATGATATTCATGTAAGCCGGAGGTATGTTGTCCTTATCATACTCATGAAGCGATTGCAGAAATTTCATGTCCCCAAGGAGTTTCTTAGCAGGGCCCCAGAAATCTTCCATCTTTTTTCCGGTGCCTGTTGGATCGGGAATTTTATCTGCTTTAATCCCTTTCAGGATGCAAATGGTTTCCATAACAAGTTTCACACCAGCAGGGGGGCTCTTCATGGACTTGACAACTGTGATATCCTATATTCAAAAGATTAGATTGGAGCAAAACCAGTGTTATTGCCTCACGTGAAGTGTTAATACCACTTTACAATGCCTTGGTAAGGCCACACTTGGAATATTGCATCCAGTTTTGGTCACCACAAAGTAAAAAAGATGCTGAGACTCTAGAAAGAGTACAGAGAAGAGCAACAAAGATGATTAGGGGACTGGAGGCCAAAACATATGAGGAAAGGCTGCTGGAATTGGGTATGTCTAGTTTAACGAAGAGAAGGACGAGGGGGGACATGATAGCAGTGTTCCAATATCTCAGGGACTGCCACAAAGAAGAGGGAGTCAAGCTATTCTCCAAGGCGCCTGAAGGCAGGACAAGAAGCAACGGATGGAAACTGATCAAGGAGAGAAGCAACTTAGAACTAAGGAGAAACTTCCTGACAGTTAGAACAATTATCCAATGGAACAATCTGCCTCCAGAAGCTATGAATGCTCCAACACTGGAAGTTTTTAAGAAGAGACTGGACAGCCATTTGTCCGAAATGGTGTAGGGTTCCTGCCTGAGCAGGAGGTTGGACTCGATGACCTCCAAGGTCCCTTCCAACTTTATTATTATTATTATTATTATTATTATTATTATTATTATTATTATTATTATTATTATTATTATTAAGAGAAATGTCATCATATTTTGATGACAGACCACCTGATTTTTTCCCCCAAAGAACATCAAAACTAAGGAACCCATGACAAAGAAGAAGGACTTCCAATCAGGTGACCACAAGCCCATTTCCTCTATTGCTGGCTAGTAGAAGAATCACAACATTTCAGGAACTCCAGCTAATTTACCTTCTTTACTTTTTCCCTCTTAACTCCTTTTTCCTTCTCTGTTACATATTTTTACACTACAAGCCTGAGAGTACCGTAGGACCATTGGTGGTTTGAGTTTATCTTAATCCTTGTGAGGTGGCCAAAGATGCTGCATTTTCACATCTTTTCTCCTTTCTATCACACATCTTATCCATCAGTCAATCGCCTTCTTAATCATTTCATAACTAAGATAAGCGCAAGAAACACATACCAATCCCATAAGAATTTCTCTAAAAATTCATCTTCACAAAGATTGTGAAAAGGAATTTATTTTAAATTTGTGTAAGAAAGATTGTTTTAAATTCAGAAGAAAATTTGTTTTTGTACTACACAGAATATTAGCATTATCACACACACCCCATCCATGTATCTAGCATGTCAGGGAGAATAACCGTTTCAGAAATTAATTCCTGTTTATGCTTTAGTCGTTTCACACATACTTTATACATACCTATTGTATGTGCTCTTGGGCCAAAACAATCTCAACATTCTCAGCCTTTAAATGGATAAGAAGCCCTTCCATGCTGGCACAGAGTTGGGCATGAATGCGAGATGCCTAGTGGGTATCTTTCAGTAAGCAGTGAGATGAACCAAATGCTGGGTTAAGGCACCACATGAGACACTCTTCAGACCCACATTATACACACACATACTCTTAAGGCTTTGTTCAAAAAAACAATTTTAATCCCCCTTTTTTTAAAAGAAAAATTGTAACTTGCACAGTTGGACTGAAATCTGTGGTTTTCCTAACTTTAACAGTTAATTTCGAGAACTGATTCCATCCATTATTTTCAAGCACATGATAATCTCACTGCATTCCAATGCTTTATAGGATTTCTAGTGATGTGATTATGATTAAGTAATCCGAATTAAGTATCATTACATTTAATTGTGTAACAAGTGATGAGCCTTCTCATCACTTACGTATATGCATAATTCTGTATTTATTTATTTATTTTTGCCATATTTATGTAGTGTATATTGGAGGTGGTGACCCTTTGAGAGCTGTATGCAATGAAATTTCATTTTAATGTATGCTAATTAGTGTACATTCAAATGACTATTCTGTTCTGTTCTGTTCTTGCTTATTTTTCAATTTCAACTAATTCAAATGTTTTTCAGTGTTATGTCAGTATCCCTGGACACCCATAATTGTGAATAATATCCAGTGAGCATTGACATTCACTGCTAGATTTTATGTTTGTACCCCAATGGAATTATCAAACAATTCTGACAGATACCAAAGAGTATCTGATAACCAATTCAGGTACACAGCAAATGGTCAGTTTCAGCCTCTGATATTTATAATGGACAGAAATTGGTGTCCCAATCTTTCCTTTCATTTCTTATCAAGAACCTTCAATAAATTGCCCCAAACAAAACAAATTCCATACAGAATCATCAAATTCAGAGCAAGATCATCCCTTTAACTGCAGAATTTGCTAAGGCATTTTAAATAGTTGAATCTGCCCTCTGTTTGAAAATTTCCAGTGAAGAGAAACATGCCACTTTACAAGGTAAACTATTCTATTGGCTGTCAGCTTTTATCATCAGGAAATTCCAGCTATCCTGAATCTATTTCCCTGTTGCTTCAACTCACTGGTTCAGCTCCTGCCGTCAGAGGCAAACTGATGTTATCTCTATCTCTTATTTCATTCTCTCTTTCAGTATAATCGAACCCGAATAAGTCTGTTTATGTTTCTAACTTGCTCAACCTTTCAAATAAATCTAGAAGAACAATGCTGAGCTTGGCAATGTCTTATCTCTAACAAAGAGGGGCACCTTTTAAATGGGTCAAAAGTAAAATTTTGTAGTACCGTAACAAATTAATGCTACGTCAGTCTTCATCTTTCTCTACAAAATTACAATATATGAATTAGTCGGCATGCCTCTCTCTTTCAGTTGAAGAAAATCATCAAGAATGAAGCAGAGGCTCTACCTGTGCAGTCAGAGTGTCCAGAGCAGCCAATGCACTTTCCAGGATTGGCAACGCTTCCGCCAGATCTGCATCACATTCATCTTTGATGGCTTTGGCAGCCATGGCTTGTTCATTGGCTACCTCTTCATCGGCCTTCACAATCTTCTCCGTCTTTGCAACTTCCAAAGATTCTTTCTCAATCACCACCATCATGTCATCCACTTGCTTGCTCGCTACCCGTAGCTGGGGCTGCAGGGCTTCCAGTTCCACCTGCATGGTGGCCACCTGGGCAGCAGCTGAGTCCAGTTTCTCCAAGCCCACTTCATATCTCTTTTTCAGCTTCATCACCTCACTGGAGATAAATCAGAAGCTTGAATCTGAATGCATTGTCATAAGAGTATCATTAATTTAATCCCCATCCAACCACCCATGCAACCATCAAGACAGACATGGTGTCTTTACTCAGCACTACTTCTACCAATTCCTCTTCCAATCCAGTAAATTTACAGTGTATTTCTTGAATCCTGACTTATTTAAATCCTAGTGAATGAGATGCTTCTCCAGCTGCTTTCCAACAGGGTTCCAAAACACACGTTTCTGACCATTGCTATCAACTGAAGCTGCAATCATTACAAAGCTTGGGGGCCAGAGAGTTTTGTTTGCTTTTGGAATTAAATATTGTTTGAAGCACTCTTTTATAATATTGACTTTATTCTGCGTTGTAGGCTACTCTGAATAAAGGGGGAAAAAACACACAGCAGGGAGTTAGCTCAATGAATGAATAAATGAAAACAAGCTTCCAGAAGCAAACCCAAAATATTATTATTTTATTATTTATTAATTTTTATGCCACTCATATTCCCATAAGGTGATTATGTCCCTTATAAAGTAACTATTGAAAATATAATATTCAATAAAATTCAACAATAGAACCTCATTAATTCAAATACAAATAAAAATTAAACAGAAAATAGAAAGGTATATCTGAAATATTTTTCCCAAAGAACCATACTTAATTGAAATTTATTTATAAACCAGTTATCTATCTATACCTATGATAAACAGATTTTTTTTTAAAAAAACTTTCTTTTTAGTTTTTCTTGGAAAAAAATATCATCCAGATAACCCAACAAGTTCTTTTTTTTATTTTAACTTTTTATTAATTTTCCAATGTTACAATTATATCTTTGAAAAGCAACGTGGTGTCTGAGTTACAATAGTTCCATTACATACAGGTATTATTAATACAAATCTCCAACTATTACAGCCAATATTTCCTCTCTTTTTTCCCTTAATACATACTGTCTCTTGTTTAAATTAGTATACTCTTATTCTATCCATCAGCTACTTAATAGCTTTCTTACATTTATCAATAATTTTATATATCTTATTTATTTTAACATTCTATCTTTTGGACCATCAATAACCTTATGAATTTTCCCAGCTTTAATTTTGCATTGATATTTAAATTAAACGTTTAATATTTATCATTTCCAAATTTTTAAATGACCCCAATTCCCTTTGTCACAATTACCCCAACATCTAGTATTCCAAATATATATCTTATCTATCTCACTTCTATATCAACAAATTAGTAATACAATATAACATTCTTATTTTCATTATAATTTCCAAATATTATAAATTCAATAACCAAAATTTCTACCATTTCAGCATTCTTCCTTATATCCACTTTCTCATATTTAAGCTTATAATTTTTATTCTTATCACTACATCAAAACATGTTAATTACGTTACATCACTCTTAACATACACTGTATATGTCTTAATCATCTTTATCTAACCTTTATAAACAACTCAATATTTCAATTTAACTGTTGATATTTATGCATCTAAGTTTTAATTAGCCAACATTTTTCTTTATCTTCACATCATAACAATATCTCTTATTCAAAATACGGGTCTTGTCTACTTAAGTATATTCTATTTTAAACCTCCTAAATATGCCCACACTCCATTCTTCTTCAATCTTATTCTGGTTTTTTTTCTTTGCCAAATCATCTTCCATGTCCTTGCTTCAGGATCCTCAAAGATTTCTTGTATTATTGTATATATTATGTCATATTGAGATGACCATCCAGTTGCCATTTTTGGAAGGCTGAGGGGTCTGGCAGGACTACCAGATCATCTCTTTATTTTCTCCTCTTGTAGTTGTTCTGAATTGTTTATCTTTTCTTCCATCTGTTTCTCTTCTTGATCTTCAAATTCCTTCTGATTTATATAGCAGGTTTTTTCCTCCATCCATGTTGTCAGATTTTTTTCTGAATTTTCTATTGTCTGTATTTGTTGGACAGTTAGGTCTTCTGTCATAGTATTTAATTGTTCGATTTTCCCTATTGTATTCTGTATAGATAGGTTTTTAGTTATAGTCAAAGTCTGAATTTGCATATCTAAGAGGCTTTCTGGGTTTTTTTCCGAAAGCTCTTATTTCATCGCCAGCTTTAAGAAGACTTTGGTAAGTTTGGTAAGTTATTTTCAACATAGCAAAAAATTGTTTTTGCATTTCTTCCATAGGAAAGGTCTGTTCCTGGACTTCCATAGTGATGAGTTGAATTGAAAACTTTCACAGTTTTTTCCCCCCAGTAAATAAGAAACAGAGCTGGTGTTCAAGGTTACCAGATAAATCTTATCTTGTTCTCTAAACTGTCAGCCAGGTCTCTTTTCTTTAAGAACAATAAATTGCAATTTCAGGTTTAGCCACAAGATGTCACCCCACTGTTTAAGGCAGTGATGGCGAACCTTTTAGAGACCGAGTGCCCAAACTGCAACCCAAAACCCACTTATGCATCATCGGATGCCAGGTGGGTGTGACCCAATGGGGGTGTGTGGCCCATTGGGTGGGCGTGGCTGTAGTGGTAACAGCAGACTGGGTGGGACTAAAAAGTTCAATCAATCCCAACTTTGCAAGATCTTTTTTTTTTCCCACAAGAAGTTGAAATTGATTGATTGAACCTTTTTTTTTGTGCACGGCGGCAGAGGCCTAAAGCGAAAAGGTTTTATAAAACCCAGCTGAAGGCCTAGGACTGGGGCGATGGCATGTGTGCCCACAGAGAGGACTCTGAGTGCACTTCTGGCACCCGTGCCATAGGTTCGCCACCACTGGTTTAAGGAGTTCCTTTAAATCTCAAAGTTATTGTAATCCTTTTGGGGGGGAATTCTTCTATTTTAAGAGGAGAAACCCAGACTATCGAATAAAAATTAAAAGTAAAAAGTAGATAATCAAAAATCTTTTAATCCACAAGCTTTAGGAAATAAAGTTCCAATTGGGATCCATTTATTTTTTCAACGTTTCCCAAAAAGCTCCCCTGTGTATTCAATTGCCGCTGTTTCTGGAGGGAGGGCTAAAATCCCCCTTCCCTCTCCACAGGGGGGAAAGTACTTTAGCAGCTTATGCAGGTAATTAAGTAATTAGGATGTAAGAGAGGTAGTTCTCACCCAGTCCTTCCCACGCTGCTTTGAAGTTGCTAGATAGTAAGTGTGACTTCGGCTGTTAGCAGCCTAGGGACAAGCCATATTTCTATGACCGGTCCTTTTGTCCGCCGGTTTGGAGGGATCGCCTGCCCTAACGGGAGAATTGCTGCTCTCCCGCGATCCAGCGAAAGCCCCTCCTTGCTGGTCGCCTCTTCGGGGCGACTTTCGGCCCCCCAGCAATGTGAAATTAAACAGGGGAGAGAGAGCAAGTCTCCCAGCCATCCATGGCGGCCGCCTGGCAAACCGGAAGTCAACCCAGCAAGTTCTTATTTGCATTCTTATTCTTGAACTATTTAAACATCAGCTGTTTTATGCTATGTAACCTTCTAGCAGCAGCAATATAGTAATTATAACAATTGTTCTTAATCATTCTTTGGATATAAGGAAACCGCCTTTGTTGTGTGTGAGATCTACGCACTGCATCTTATTTCTGTTTACATGCATCCCTTGTTGGACTCTGTTTGCCGGGGTGGGGAGGTGGAGAGACAGTGGTAGAAGAAACAGTAAAAAATTACTTTTGCTAACAAATGCCACATCAATCATACTTACGCTCTCTTTTTTTCCAGCAGGGATTGGAAAGTGGAAATTAATTCCAGATATGAAGTTGGAGTTACATAATTATGTCGCTGGAGCTCATTATAGAACAATTCGGACAAATTAATGGTTGAGGTATGAAACTTTTTACACATATCAATGCAGCCAGCTCTGGTTTCTTCAGACATTTCAATATCGCCCAGGGAGCGAGAGGCAACTGCCTGCAAAGCATCTGTAGGCCATGACTGAATTTAAGGAAGGAAAAAAGAGACTGTTATTATGGAAAAAGAGTGCTACATAAAGAATACTCATGAGTTAAAAAGAGCCATTAAAAAAAACACCTCAACTACTGGATAGGTTTCATAATGGGCTAATGGCCACCCTGAAAAGTTAGATAGGTACCATATTTAAGTGGCAAGATAAAAACGTAACCTTGTCAGAAAAGGATGAGGGTCACGGTTAATGAACCATGCTTTTTTAACGTTTAAATGATTTTTCTGAGTTAAAGCCATAGAAACCATTGAAAATAATCTATATCATATTGCCCAACTTTAGTGGCGATGGCATAAGGGGGTAAGAGAAATTCCAGGGGCAACAAAAACAGAATTGCGTGGCTGGAGACAGTTCGGGAGGCATCAACTCATGTCTTTTTTCCACCTTTAAGAAGTCATCACTGAAAATATACTATTTGATGAAACTCACAGAGGCCTAACAAAGAGTCTAGCAAAAATGGTGTTGAGTGCTTTCAAATAGAAAAAAATAAGCCAGCATGGATATATAATAAACATCAATAAGCTTAAAGAGCAAATTTCTATCATGAGTAAATAAATTGAAATTTTATTCAAACATTTTTGCATTTTTACAAATAAACAAATTTATTTATGCAAACATTTATCTATGTTTATCTATTTATCTATCTTGGGTTTTTTTCCTGGCCTAAGAGAAGCTGCAGAGGGAGGGAGGCTGCAGCATGAAAGGAAGGGAGCAGGGCAACCATCTATATATATTTGGCTTTGAACAATAGCCCCAGTCCAAATTATTGTGCTCCAAAAACTATTAGCTAGAAAAGAAAAATATATGTACCATTTTAAAACGCAGTCTGGGGATTATATAATTTTTTCATTGAAAAAACAAACAAACCTTTGAACATAGAAAAAGATCAGCAGAATTTAAGTAAAACCATAAGGAAACAGTACAGGGAGTCTTCGGCTTATGATCACAATTGAGCCCAACATTTTTGTTGCTAAATGAAATATTTGTTAAGATTACAAACTTTTTTTTGGCACAGTTGTTAAGTGAATCTGGTTTCCCCATTGTCTTTGCTTGTCAGAATGTCGCAAAAGGTGTGACCCCGGGACACTGCAATCATCATAAATACGAGTCAGTTACCCAGCATCTGAATTTTGTTCACATGACCCTGTGGATGCTGCCATGGTATGAAAAATGGTCATAAGTTTTTTTTTCAGTACCGTTGTAACTTCGAATGGTCACTAAATGAGCTGAACTACCTATATTTTTATTTGTTCTTTCTATCACACCAATATTTACAAATGATTAAACAAGCCACAAGGAATCCATAATTAACCATAGCTTAAAGTTATATACATGGTAGATATATACTTAAATAGCTTTCTGATACAGGAGAATGTAGAAGCCAGCTTTAAACCACTGTTTCAATTTATGGCTAATTTGGAACTCAAAATGTTTTTTTCCCACCACAGAGCAGCACGTTTTTACTAGTTCATTTCCCCACCAGAAAAAAAGAAAGTATAGTGACTATGCTCAACCACATGAGTAAAACTGGATTGCCTTAAATGCTTTTATGCATTTTTCACAGCTGTACTTCAGAATCTTACCTCAAACCAATCAATAGTGCAACAATTAACAAGAGCTGGAAACTTCCGGAGACGATTTCGGAAGGCATCTCCAATGGGACTCATAGCCAAGACGACATGGAGCTGATCCCGGCAACGATCAATGAACATGTTGAAAAGAGCAATGGGGCTACCGTCAGTCTGCTTGGATCTATCCCGCTGTCGATCAATGGAGCGCATCTTTTCACAGATTTCTTGTTTCTCGTCAACCGCAAACAGGTTTGGCACTTCTCCAGCATTTAACAAGTTGTTTATGTCTTCTAAAAATGACTCCCTTTTTATCTGGGTGTCAGTGAATAAGAAAACTCCTTGCACCTCACCTTCAGTAGATCTCCTCAGAATGGCTTTTAGGTCCTCATGCCATTCATTGGTCCCATAACTCTTTGAGATTTCAACCTGGAATGGCGTGTAGTCAGACATATACGCTGCTAAACGTGTCAAGGACTGTCGACCGCTTCCACCAACACCAACCAGAAGGGCATGGCTACGAGGTTGTTTCAAAATGCGTGAAATTCTACAAACATGTTCTATAGCGAATCGAAATAAAACCAGCTGCATTGGCTTTTTGCTCATATTATTGTATTCTTCTAGATGGCCCTCGACAACAACTCTCAGTTCATCCACATCCAAGACTTCCCTATAATTTGTATCCTCCCTTCTAGGATCATGAAAGTCACAGAACATCAAGCTTCGCAAATCATCCTCTTCTACCCTACCGTCAAAATTGAAATCCAGATTTTGGAAAAGTTCATCAAAATCTTCTTCCAGGTGCTTTGTTACTACTTCACGGATACATTTAACCAGCCATGATCGATCTGCTTTATCTACCAAGCGGTCATAATATACTCTAAGGACCTGCATAAAAAACGTCAGTGTGATTGTTTATAATAATTAATTACAAATTAATTACATCCTGTCAGGAAAAAAATATTAAATTTGAGAAGCTGTATATTCAAAGGAAATAACTAAATATCATGTGGAAAAGCTATTTTCTGTCATCAATTATCTTTACTGATTGGCATGAACACAGTGTAGTCCTGTAGCAGCTTTCCTCAACATGATGCTCTCCAGATGGGGCTGCAATTCCTATCATCCTCAGCCAGCACCATGATGAGGAAGAGTACCTTAATCATCGTGATCTCCACAGTAGAAGGGCAGATGATATTATCCATTCACAAAATGGATACTGCAGTAGGTAAGGCCAGTCACAGACTTATATAATTATAACTATATGGTCCTTTGTGTTGTTGGACTCTTTTAGTAGAAACAGCTATACAAGGCACAGCAGTTAATGGTTTATGCTACTAAAGTTTTCAGCGATTCAGTACCTTATCTTATAAAAAAAATATTTTGCAAGCAAATATAAGACTGAGCCTTCAATTAAGTTACTAATAGAAAATTTACCTCATGAACCCAAAGGCGTTTTATGGTTCCTGAGGAAATGGTTGTTTCAGGTCGTGACAGACAAACTCCTTGAATGACCCGAGAGAAATCTCTCAAATTGAACAAATAGTGTGATTTGGTGGGTGTAGGGAGGAGGTTCTCCATAGCTTCTTTGTATACAGTCATTGTGCTATTAATAATTTGTGTAGTCAGTTGAACATATTCCGAAGGGAAGTTGTAACTGTTGATTGAAAAGATGAAAGCAGTAGGACAGCTCATAGAACACAAAATAGAAACTTGGACAGTTTCCTACATTCATCAAATTCTTTGCATTGCATTTTAAATATGTGTGGTTTACAGAGGATGGCTATAAAACACTTGGATATATAGTAATAGTCATCAATAAAGCTATTCACTAAACAAAACCAGCAACAACCATTTATGAACAGATTTTAAATAATGCCAAGGACTGGGGACATATTCAGATGTTGTCCGGATGGTGGCAGCATCTGGTATGAATGAATTTCACAAAGAAGTCAAATGATTTTACAATCCAATCCTTGTTCTTAAATGTTCCTTAGTTGCTTAGTTGTCTAGTTCCTGGTGTTCTTTAGTTTATAATGAGATTATTGGGGTAGCCCAAGTAACATGCTAGGAATAATACAGTAATTTCCTTGTTTATTCTGATATGAAGATATTCATATTCAGAACACTGAAGGTTGCACAATTGGCAACAAGTTGGAAAATAGATATAATTTAGGGCACAACAGCCAAAATCTTTAGGGAAGTGCCTCACATTTGTGTCAACCCTAATTCATTCATTCATTCATTCATTCATTCATTCATTCATTCATTCATTCATTCATTCATTATAAAATTATAACTATCACATCCAGCAAAATGGCATGTTGCAGGTCCTGTCCACAAATGAATGCCATCTGATGGGACCCAGGAGAAAAGCCTTTTCTGCCATGGCATCCACCCTTTAGACCAGCGGTTCTCAACCTGTGGGTCGCGACCTCTTTGGGGGTCGAACGACCCTTTCACAGGGATTGCCTAAGACCATCAGAAAACACATATTTCCGATGGTCTTAGGAACCGAGACACCGCTCCTCTATCCGTCTCCGCACGGCTTCGAGCTGGGAGCCGTTGCAGCGTCGGATTGGTTTCCGTCAAGCATCTCCTAAGGGAGGCTGCGCTGCTTCATGGCCCTTTCAGCGGAGGAGGCTGAACTAAGCTCTGCTGGCGCTGTCGCCCTCTTGGCTCTCTCTCTCTTTCTCTCTCTCTCTCTCGCTCTCCTTCTCCCCGCCTGGGCGCTTCTCCAACCAGACTGGGCGGAGCTGGCGGAGCAGCCTTCCTGCCCCCCCCTCCCCGGCCAGCTGGAGCCGGGCAGGCCAGTGACCTTCGGAAGTGAAGCGAGGACAGGCGAGGTGCGCTGAGCCCCGGGCACGGCAGGTCAATGGGCAGCGTCGGTGTGCGCTTGGAGAGCCCTTAAGGTTGGGGGTCACCACAACATGAGTAACTGTATTAAAGGGTCGCGGCATTAGGAAGGTTGAGAACCACTGCTTTAGACTATCATTCCCCATGAATTCAGACTGCACCCAAATTTGCTGGACTTCCACAAGGACCTGAAGATATGGCTTTGGTATCTGGTCTGGGAATCCAGGAACATGGGTATGGATCCTGCAAAGTGGTGTATTACTAAGGAAACTGTGTGCACTCTCCTGGAATTGGGAGGGGGAGGGTAATGGTTTTTAATAGTTAATTTGAAGATTGTCTACAGTATATTGGTGTGCTGTGATGCCATCAGAGGGTCAATTCTTCATGATGTTGATATGTTCAAAGATATCTTTGGAGACCTGCTGGTGGGAAATGCAGATATTACAGCTCAGTGCTTCTGGATGGCATGATGCTTAGGAAGGATATTATGGCAGGCAATCATTATCTTTCTTTTTATTTAGGTTAATATGCCACAATATAACAATGTCACCTACCATATAGTAAGATGCCAATCTATAATTCGGGAGAAAATTGTATACATCGAAATATCATCAAATTCATTAATGGTAATTGTGTTGAAGTGTCGCAGATATCGAGGAGTGATCGGATTTCGACCTCCACCTGTAAGCAGAAGCAAATCACTGATGTGCACATAATAAATGTAAATCTATCAAACACTTCTGCAACCAGTTTGAATTCTTCCTATTCTCCATGCATCAATCAAAGGGGACTTTCTGTTAAGAGCAGCTTATAATCCATATACACATGCCACAGTGGCAAAAGACAATTTATTTTGAGGAAGGAGGAATGCGTAAGTCTTTCATACACTAAGTATGGCAGTAAAAGTGACAGCAATTCTATCCACAGTCTTGCTGCATCAATAATCACACACTAAAGAATTACAGTTATTACTTGTAAAGGCTCTCAATCCATGCTAATATTTAGAATTGATCAAGGTAGCTACAACAGTGACAAATCTACATTTTTAATCACATTGAGACAAGGGTTATAGGATCTCTTAAACAAACCACATCTTTTAAGCAAAGTTTGGGCAAGGAATTCTGGAATTATTATTTCCACATACTAAATTGTAGATCTTCCTCCATATTTTCCCACTAAAACAGTGGCCCCCAATCATTTGGGCACCACCAACCAGTTCTGTGGAGAGAGGATTTTCCATGGACCAGAAGGGGTGTGGTTTCACGTGCTGCCCGCACATGACTTGTTTGTGCGGTCCAGTTTCTGGCATGCCATAGCCCGGTGCTGGTCCACAAACCGAGGGTTGGGGGCCCCTGCCCTAAACCAATCATAGGAAACTCAGGAGAAAAGAGGGTTCATTTTTGCAACTCTCAGCTCAACTGCAACAGAGAACTGAGGCTCTATACAAACCGTCTCAAAGACTTGGCCATTTTCAGCCTTAGAGGCCCCTCCCCATACAAGCAAATTTAAATGATGATGCATGAATGAGAAGAAAAGACATGACTTAATTTAAATATTTAAAAAGAGTAAATCAGTAGCAGGTTTGGCACTTTAGAGATGTGTTCTCTATCTAGAACTAAAAAACATACCTGCTGGCCCCATTGCACAAATGATCTGGATGTCCACAAGTCTAATCATAGTACAGTCTTTCAGGTCATACCAGTTCCAGTGATCCAACCACTGACGAAGTAACTCCACTGGAGGTTGAGCCCCATAGACTTCTCTTGCTGGCATATTGACATCATCAACAAATACCACCTAAAAAAAACAAAACCGTTTCTCAAAAGGACACAGATTCTATACACACTCCATAGGTTACACGCAAAGACATTAAAAATATGTTGCTGATCTCATCTAGAGTAAGCTTGTTTCCAGTCACAACTAATCTACTCTCTCCTCTTACATATTTCTAAGATAGTATAAGATGCTATAGGAAAATTCCCACTTTCTGTACTGACTGATTGGAGTCCCACACCTCTTAGACTATATCTCAGGTACCTTCACTCAGTTCTAAATCAAGGGTTAAGAACAGCATTCAGTCCTTTGCTTTGCTGCCTGTACTATACTTACTCTTAGGATAGATATACTGAGTAGGTCTATTCCTGTACTAAAAGTATATATCTTTGGTATGTAGCGTTACAAAAATCTGGAAGACCACTAGAAATAAGTATTAAGGAAATTCTTCCATCCCCATTTTTGCAGTTCAGATATAGAGCTCTAATGTACCATGCTATATTACAATCTGGTTTCTTTTTGTTTGTCTGTTGCATAAACACAGGCAGTTGTAGTATAAGTAATAAATTGTGGTTAAAGAAGCCATGTCTTAGTGTAATATGTGAACCCAAGCTAATTCCTTCCTCTCTTTTTTTCTTCTTTGATGAGCTTTCCATATGAATTAGATTTTCTTCTCCCTATGTCTTTAAAAAGGTTATTGTCATGGATGCTGCCCATGAGGTAGCTGATCAATGAAACAATGCAAACTGATTGCAAGAAAAGAGATATTAAGAAAAGTGTGGTTCCACTGCCCAATGACTTCTTTGCAATTTATTTGCATGTTAATGGAGGCAATTTTACTCAATTTGAACTGCTAAATGGCAGTAACAAAACCAGTGGATGAGAAAATTACTGTCTAGGTCTTTTCACTATATTTTCTACTAGGGCAAATTTTGTTCAGCTGTTTACAATCACCCCTTTTTCCTATAGCCTTTGGTGTCATCACCCAAATTCTTCCTTGTGTGAGAGGTTTTCAGGAGACACAGTGGGGAACAAGAGAGAGGGGGAAATGGAGAAGCTGTTGTGGAGGAAGACGTTTCCGGTTCCAAAACTAAAAGTTCTGCGGTACATTGGAGACTGCTGAGTTGTATTTGCTATGACCTTCAATTAAAATTGTTTTGGTTTGCTATTAGTCTGCTATTTGTTTTGGCCCCGTATTATGGGTCTTTAAGTTGTATGATGTTTTATAAGTGGTTTCTTGTAAAATGGTTTTACGTATAAATTGTAATTTGTAATTTGGGATTGTTTTGTCAAAAAAGTCAAGTTAGAAGTATGCACTTATTTATTAAATTTTTATTGAGTGATTGATTTATTATACACCTTGTTGCAAGCATAGGCAGACTTTGAAGAACTTAAATAAATAACCCAGTTTCTTCCTTTGAGTTATGTAAAGATGCCTGCTTCTTGGTTCATTTACTTGAGAGAATAGTAAAATATAATCATTAATTTTCTATCTAAAATGATACGATACATTGTTCCCATCTCATTACTCTACCTTCTAGATGCCATAAATAGTATCTGTCTAGAAAGGTGGGTCATCATATGCCTGCATAAATTGTGTGTGTGTGTGTGTGTGTGTGTGTGTGTGTGTGTGTGTGTGTGTGTGTGTGTGTGTGTAAAGGGGGGTGGGGTATAAACCTACTCTAGTTCCAATTCCTTCAGCCAGAATTATTGAAAAACCATCTCTGCCAAAATTCTGTGTTCTATCCAGTAATCAAAATGTACTTAAGACTTGTTGGCATGATCTAGTAATTGTTTCACCTAGACCAGTGGTTCTCAACCTTTTTAATGCCGTGACCCCCAACTGGTTGTAAGTCGAGGACTAAACCAGTCGTAAGTCGAGGACTACCCAACCGGTCGTAAGTCGAGGACTTTTCCTGCCCGGGAGCGCCGCGCATGCGTGGTTCCGCCCCCTGCACAGGCCGAGGCGTAGCTGGCAAGCGGCAGAGACGGAGCAGGCCGACCACCAGCTGGCCCAGCTCAAGGGAGGTAAGGCACCCGCCGGAAAAGGGGAAAAAATGGTGGACAGCCTTGCTTGGCGACCCCCGTGAAATGGTCAATCGACCCCAAATGGGGTCGTGACCCATAGGTTGAGAACCGCTGGTATACAGGTTTGGAATGAAAACTACAGCAATACCATATCCACTGTGAATGTGAGATACAAGTGAAAACTGTTGCTTCCATGTTTAAAATCGATGGGAAAGTTTTGCTATGTTTTAAAATTAGGTAGCAATTTATATGCCATTCTGCTTTTGAAGAGGGAGGTATTGTATCTATATTTTGCACTCAAACTATACCCATGAAAAAAAAAATGACGAGGCCCTGCCATAAGCAGGGGGACAAGTTGCATTTCACTTTTTTAAAAGTTACCATTTTCTTTCCTAGAGGAGGACCAAAGACTCCTTTTCTCCTTTTATCAAGCTTAGACATAATGATGTTCTGAGTCTGGGCTGCCGTCGTCTGCGCTGAGAAGTTAATGAGCAGCGGTTTGTAGATTTCCTTATTTAAGCGATTTAAGAGAAAATCCTGTCAAGACAGTTTTAAAGAAAGAGTCAAGATTGGAGCATAGAAACGTGGCAGCATAGAAGAAGGCAAGCGGAAGGGCTGTTTTTATTACAAGTCATTCAGATCAGGTGGTTTTTCACTTCAGGTTTGCTAGTTATTCTCTTTAGAAAAATGACGAGCAGCAAAGTCATTAACATTCAAGACTCTCTAATGAGTTTCCTGCAGAAATAAATTTAAATAAATTTAAAGACACCTTTTTATGCAGATTAAGACTGAAGGCATCACTGATGTTTCATAATATTATTGGACTCATTAGCAAGTTCCAGAATATCACATGAACAGACTAAGTATAGTTGCCTGTTCAATAAATACAGGTAGTCCTCGACTTACAAGCTTCTTTAGTGACCATTCAAAGTTACAACGGCACTGAAAAAAGGGACCCCGTGGTCATGTGATCAAAATTCAGATGCTCGGCAACTGGTTCATATTTATGACCATTGCAGTCAATGGAAAAGCCTGATTCACTTAACAACCAGGTTACTAACTTATCAACTGCAATGATTCATTTAACAAAAGTCATAAAACAGGGCAAAACTTAGTTAACAATTGTCTCACTTAACAACAGAAATTTGGGGCTCAATTGTAGTCATTAAGTCGTGGACTACCTGTACAGAAGT